ATGCAACCCCAATATCCACTAAATTCAAACAACTACCCTACACATGTTCCAGTGACCATAGACCACAGTTTTCTTCACAACACCTGTCGAGGTAAACCCATGTGACACGTGTCAACGGGACCAAGATATCAGCTTTGTCCAGTTAACCGTAGCTCTTCTTCAAGCACATTACTACAACCAAAAAGCAGTTCACACGGATGATTTTCCTGCAAATCCCTCTTGGAGTCTTCAATTATACTGGTACTCAACCAAATAACAACCAGAGCAACAATGGCACGAAAATATATAGATTGAATTTCAGTTCAACTGTTCAAATCCTTCTCTAGGGCACTGCAATGGTAGCTCCAAAAAGCCATCCTCTTGTTGTTGGGAGTGGGTTAGGGAATTTTGATCCACAGAATGATCCAAAGAGCTTTAATCTTGTTGATCCGATGGAGAGAAACACTGTGGAGGCACCTAAAGGTAGGGGTGAGTATTCGGTTTTCGGTTCGGTTTTCAGTGATAACCGAATTAACCGAATAACCAAATAGAGCAAATTTTAAACATCGAATCGAAACCGATAACCGAACTAACCGAAACCGAATTAACAGAATTATTTCGGTTCGGTTAACTGATTAACCGAAATATATAAATATGAAAGTGATTTAATAATAAAACACAATTACAACCATTAATTAATAAATATTTCATCATTTAATGTGATTTATTACAATAATATTTATTATAACCATATTTATTGAATATAAATATATTTAAAGAGTTCACATAATCCCATATATATTTATTAAATATAAATATATAAATATATTTATTTCGGTTTTTTTTGGTTATAACCGATTTTTTTTCTACTAACCGAACCGAACACTGAAACCGAATTATTATAAAAATAAAAACTGAATATGTAACCAAAAACTGAAATAACCGAATCAAAAAACTGAAATTAAATTCGGTTCGGTTCGGTTTTTTGTTACGGTTAGGTTTTGCTTACCCCTACCTAAAGGTGGATGGACTGCTATCAAATTCAGGGCAGACAACCCAGGTAGCTACTGGCATATCTTTCATTTTTGAGTTTGATATCAAGAATAGAGTAACTAGTTGCATCAGAAAAATTTCATTCTATCAACTTTGTTTTGGCTTATGTTGTGGTAGGTGTCTAGTTTATACATTGCCATTTGGAGGTACACACAAGCTGGGGACTTAAGATGGCTTTCACGGTGGAGGATGGAAAGGGCCCCAGTGAGTCTTTGTTCCCACCTTCCAAAGTGCTAGGGCCGCAGGGCGTCTGATTCAAAGTCGTGAATGACAACTAAGAGTGTATTCTGCACTCTGCACTGGACATAGCTTGTTTGAAAGATTACAAAGCTCCAAATATATTCTTTTTAAAAAGAGATCGAATTTTACTAGAAATTAATAAATTTGAGATGAATTGACGATTCCATATGAAATTATGAAGTGCATAATTTAAGTCGCAAACCAGAATTTCAAATTATTTTATCACGGTGCCATGTGTAATTGTAAATTCAAAATATTTATGTATGATCAATTATTATAGTAACGGAGACAGTAATTTAAAAGTTATTTATTAAATTGTGGTCCAATCATTAACAAACAAAAATTGTATTTGAACCAAAATTAACCTGATCAAATTCAAATTCAAAGGGTATGATGAAATGCAAATACATAAAAATATTTGTTTTGAATTCAAGATAATATATAATTTCAAACTCAAAAATGAAAAAAAATTAATACATAACTGAAAGAATTACCAAAAACACAAATTTAATCCAGTGTTATTTAAAAAGACAACACAAATCAACGTCATTTTAGTTTGGAAGTAAAACACATAACATCCAACAGTAAAACCACCGTATATGAAGTTAAGGTAACGCCAAAAACTAAATTCGCGCCAGGAAGGGGTCGAACCTTCGACCTTCTGCTTAGGAAACAGACGCTCTATCCACTGAGCTACAAGCGCAGGTTTGGATTTGGTACGGTGTTATTTATTGATCTAGTAGAGTGAGTTCAAGCACTTTAAACATTTCATAAATGAACTTGGCCTAGGAAACAGTTTGTAGTTTACATAGCATAGGGAGTTAATGCGCGCAAGCATTGTGATGAAGCAATTATTTTTATGAAATAATCTGATTTATTTCGGATGATTCTAGGCCATTCGTCAACTCGTTTTGTGATTCTCACTGAATAATTATGAATAAAATAATTTTACGGATATTAATTTTTAATATAAAAAGACAATTTTATTCAATATAAATGAAATGAATACATAATAAAAGTCGGCCAGTCACATTCCGTCAATACAAACAAAATCTAAATGAATTAAAGGAGATGGTCCGCTCAACATATTTTTTTAAGTAATTTTTCAAACAAGAGTTCGGTTGAACGACTTGATTAATTTTGGATGACTGTGAACGATGTTCAAATTCATTAAAAATGTTGAATATAAAAGTAAATTGGCCAACCAGAATTTGAAGTTTTGGCGTCTTATTCATTGGTATATGAATGAATTTGAAATTGACCCGAATATTGAAATTTTTTTGCACAAAGGAGGGCTAAAGCCCAAAATCAAAACTAGCTGGTAATAATATTGTTGCATCTGGATTCAGAATCCACCGAAGTCTTCAGAGTTTCGAACTGATTATGACGATTAGAAATGCCTAATTCTTGTACAGGAGTCGAGATCCAGCCCCATAAATTTGAACCCAAAAGGTAAGAAGAATCACAATACAGACCCGCAGCAGAACGCATCGTTTGGTAATTCAAAGTCTTGAAAATGAACTGGGTAAGCAGATTTGTTTCGGATGGTTCGGGCTCATCCTTTCTTTCCCCAAGCTGGAGGAGTTTAAAAATGGCGGACAGAGAGAAAAATCAAGGGAGGAATAGAGAAAACACTCCTTACATTTTTTTTTTATTCACAAAATTGAGGATCTCGCCGGAAAAGGGAACCAAGTGCAGGGGTCCGGAGAAGCGTTTCTGGACTACAAAACAAGCTTATTACAAGACACTACTAATAACAATGTCTAGGAATTGCAGAGGAAAAAAGGGAAAGCAGGACCCTATCTCCCTTCAGAAAGAAGTTAAAAAGAAGAGAAACGGAAGCGAGTTACAGACAAATGTGGTATATATACAACTAACTCTAGGCGTCAACGAATGCGGCAGGATCCAAAGGTATAACAGTATCTGGAAAATCAGATCTCTGTCCGGCAAGAGAGTAATAGGCAAGAATATGAGCAGGATGCTCCACCGACACAAGCTCTCCAGCATGATTGTGAACACCAACTCGCCTGGAAGGAATCAACTCAATATTCCAAAATGGGCGAGCCATGGCTAAAAGATCTCGCCCCGACGCAGATCCTCCATAGCCTTGCACCCATAGATACCTGAGGGAAGTCAGTCGCGTGGCAGCAACGGCCAGAGCGTACTCACTGAAGAAGGCGCAGCCCCTCATTTCCAGTTTCTGAAGGCTGGGGCACCCCCTCGAGAACTGCAGCAGCCCCGCATCCGACTCGCCCACATATCCCAGCAGCATCCATCTCACATTTTGGCTGTATTGCCCGATGTAACCCAGCCCCGCATCCGTCAAACCCCCAGGTCTCAAATACAGCGCAAATCTCCTCAGCTTGTCACATCCCATCAGCAACGCCCTCACTCCGTTGTCCAGTGGCAAGTCCGTTATTCTCTCTTCCCGGTCCAACAGCACAAGCCGGAAATCGCACAGGTTTTTCAAGTGAGTCCCAATTTGCTCCAGAGCTGCATTTGTGATATCTGATACATAAACAGCCAAATATTCTAGTTCTGGACAGCCCTGCGACAGAGCAATTAATCCTCTCTGCGAAACAACCCCTTCTTCATCCTCCATTCCTTGATCATCATCGCCTCGTTCAATTCTCAGCCTTTTTAACTTCTTGCAATATTGAGCAAGAACTTCTAACCCTCTATCTCCGATTACATTCCTTGACTGTCCATCAGGGGGGAAAAAGGTACTTCTCAGAATATTTTCATCCAATTCAATCGATTTTAAAATCGTAAAACTTTCCAGGTTTCCTTCGGTCCGATTAAGGAGTTTTGTATCAATACATACAACCATGATTGTTCTTGTGGATGCTCATTATACGGATGCATGCATATGCATAACACACACACACACACACACAAAATCAATGGACCGGTGTAGGCAAGAGAGATTAGAAGACAACAAAACGAAGACTACAACATTCATTTTTGAAATAAGCAACTTGAATCGAGAATCATCTCTAGGAACTAACCTCAAGGATTTCCAAGTTTGGGCACCTTCGGATTAGCATACAATGGTCTTCGGTATCCAGCATCGCATAGAGGAGATCCAACTTTTTGAGCAGAGATGCAAAAGGGAAAACAATCGGCATTTCATTCTTTCCAATATAGGTTAACCCCAGTCGATTTAAATTCGCAGGTAATGATACAATGGAGTACTTGTGCGGTTGTTCATTGTAAGAACCTCCGCAAAATTCCTCTAGAGCAGTTGCGTGTCGAAAGAAGTTTATGAGATCCAAGATCTCACAGTCAGTAATTTTCACAGAGACTAAATTCGGGCAATTTTTAGCTATAAGTTCAAGGTCTTGAATCTTGACATTGGCAATATCTGTCAAGTAAAAATTTAGAGCCTCGAGAACTGTATTATTCGTGGCAAGCTGATGCAGCCATTCGCCATCTTTCTCAACAATTGTGCTCTCCTCCAAAAACAAAATTTTTAAAGCCCTACACAGTGGGGAAAACAAGTTTCAATTAGAGTCATGCTCATCCATATCTGCAGGCACAAATTCAGATAAGAAACGGGTCGAGTTTACGTACTGAAAACATTCTTACACACAACTAACAGGTCAGAAGCTTATGTCCAAATGCAGTACGATGTCATCTTAGTTATGTACGTGATCAGGGAAAGAGCAAAGGAAACTAAATGAGGCTATAAATGATGGCATATGAATTCAGTGAACAATAACAGTAACACATTGCCTCTAAGCTGTAGAACTTTACCATTTCTCATACAAGATATACAAAATGAAAATGAATGATTTTCATAAAAAAAGAAACAGCACATAGGTGAAACTTAGTAAGCAGTAATTTTCTTAAAGAATATAAACTTTATTTTGATCGCTCACTGCTAGAAACACTAAAAAATGCAGCTGCTATCTGAGAGACTTGGTACAAAAAAATCAAGATGAATTTACAAACAAGATGAGAAAATCTGCAGGCGTTATAAGTTGAGTGCATTAACTAAACCAGTTTTAAGCAATAAATAGAGGTGATCCACGCCACAGATATGACATCAAATCCTACATTTTAAATTTTAAGAAATAAACAGGCGTTACCAATTCACGTCATATAGTCTGCAGGTCAATTAGAATTTAGACCACAGCAAGTTTCTATGAAGTATAGTTATAAGATACTTAAAATTCCGGAGAAAAAGAAATGAGATGAGCTTGAATCTTTCACGCAACACATAGTTCAAGATCCAAAAGTACAAATAAAAACATAGCCAAATGATCTCCTACGTCTCTTCCCTAGACTTTAACTGGGGTTCTTACTCCACAAATACAACCTAAGTTTACGCCCCATCACGGGCGAGATTTTGATACATTTTCAACCGGATATGCCCCATCCCCTTCTTCCCTCTAACTGGAGAACCAGGCACGTTACCTAGCTTATAGGTTAATTTATATTAAGCGCAAAAGTCACAAACTCGTCGAGACAACCGATCATGATTTTATAGTTGAACTTGAAAGGTAGAATTGATCAACTTAAATTAACTCACTAAATTTAAGCAAATGAGAAAGAAAATCATATAAATTTCAATTAGAAGCCTCCAAAATCCGAGCTATATGAAAACGACTGGCCAAGATTACCTGCAAGACCGGCCAATATGGTAAAGGCCATCCGTGGAAAACCCAGAGCATTTGTCGAGTTTGAGAGCTTGCAGGACGTGTCCCCGAGATCGAGCGAGAAGCTCAAGATCCGAGTCCTTCACAATCATGCGCCGAAAGTGGAGCGACTTCAAGCAATCGAAATATTCAGCAATCTCCCTCACCCAAGGCGTCACGTAGCCTCCCCAGTCCTCCGGTATCAAATTGAACATCGCCGCTCTCGGCTTCCCTTTCAGCTTCAGAGACTCCAGGTGCGGAAATCTTCGCCGGAGCCGGTCCGGGGTTGTCGTGTAGCACAGAGCAATTGTGACGTGCTTCCGCGTCAACGAATCAAGCTCGTACCATCGCCGGCAAACTTGAGAAACCGCATCCCGGTCTTTGGGGTCGTGAATATAAGGCATAACACAGTCGAGAACTACATCGGACAACCGAGCACACATTCTGCTCCCGTTTCGATCCTCCTTATCCATAGAAAGAATTGTAATTGTACAAAAGAATGAAGAAAATGCCTCGAAAGGCCAAAAATTTCACCCCCACAGAAGAAGAAAGTGGATTTCACGATTGAACTTAAAGAAACTATTCAAAGATCTAAACCTGACGATGAAGATCGGTTCTGAAGCTTCAAAATCCCACTGCGAAAAGTAGCTCTAGGAAACAACTAAAACGAAAGATCACGTAGAAATCAGAAAAGACGCAGATAGTTCACTACATCGAAAAGCAACAAAGCCGGACCATCGCACTTTCAACTAGGGCCAGCACACCAACCACAGCGCCGCAAATTCGATATACGTGGAAGGCGCATAAGGGTTCTGGCAGGAAACAGGACAGAGAAGAGAGGTGCTCACTGCTCAATGAACAATGAAGTCGAGGAATATCAAGCAGCGAGTTTTGCACCGAAGACGAGCCAATCGGATCGGGGATGAATCGCAGTCCCGACCAATAGCAGGGGAAGGGAGCAGCGAGTTACTGATGCAAAAGGTGAAGCCGAGCACATCGGGGGAGGGGGCTAATTGACGGTTAAGATTGAAGGAATCGGGACAATCGGACGGCGAGAACGAGAACAGTTTGAGAGAAATGATTGGATTGGACCCGAAGTGGGGGGGTATATGAATCACAAAAGAGAAAGGGGCAGGGTTTTGACTGTTTCGTTGAGTAGCAAAGGATGCGAAGGCCAAAGATTAATGAGCTTGGGATGACAAGACGCCGATGGTGAGTCGAGCTCAGGACAAAGGCACAAAACTTGCCCTGTGCTTTGACAACCAATCTACCAATATCGTTTCGTTGGTCAAAGTGGGGAAGTCATCCTATCAACATATTTTCTCTGGTCACCAAATAAAACCCCCCAACATATTTTTATGATAATATATTGTTTGAGCTAATTTATGCCGTGTCAGCCTGCCAATATATTATCAGCACGTAAGATGAGTGAGTACCGCTTATTTATTAATTATTTATTTATGCGGTGATCAATTTTCCTTTTCTTTTGAATAAATAATCTAATGCCTTAAAATTCAGACAATTTTGGGGGGGAAAAAAATCAAATTCTCGACACGTTCACCGGACTTCAAATTAATCTGACGCATGAATTTCTTGGTAATAGAAATGACTGCTGTTTTGACTTTTTTATCACATCATGCAGGTTTATCGAAATACTTCCGCCTGCGGTTTTTTTGAAATTTTTTTAAAAAATTTTAAAATTTAAAAATAGTCTTGTTTATATTTTAATAACGATTTACTATACTTACAAAAAAACAGAAGACAACATATTTTTATAGTAATTATTTTTTTAAAAAAATTTCCTTTTTTTCCTCGTATGTCTGCAAACATATTAATCATCTAACGCAACTGAAAACCTTTATGCTACCTTACATCCTATGTATGAGATATATTTTGTGGTGCAAATTATACTAAAAGTGGATGTTATATTTAAAATGGAGGTAGTATTATTATATATCAGTGCGTACGCGTGCTTATTCACTTGGCCTTCGTTATGAAGCAAGGCATAAGTTTCAACTTTCAAAGTCTCTGTCTGTCCACCATTTTCTGTGGTGGAATAAATTTCAGAGTTTCTTATAGATAATGTGTTGACTCCTATGCCGAGATTGATGTTGCCAGTCATCTAGAAGTGCGAATAACACCATGAAGTTGTATCCATATTGCTATTGTTCTCTCTCGTATCATCGTGTTACCATCTCTTTTTTCAAATATCGTGGCATGAAAACCCAACTCGCATCCTCCAATTTGATCAATGAACTAATGATTTTTTAATCAGTTCAGTCAAAAGCTCTGAATGAGTTCATCGGGTTGAATTTTATACTCTAAACCCTCCCATTATTAAGCTCCATTTGATTTTTCTTTTTCTTTTCTTTTCTTTTTTTGAAAAAGGAACAGCCCATAAATTTGTAATTTAGCAAGTACATTATGCTGGATTATGTGTAGTTCAAGGAACAAATGTTTTATATACTGATGAATCAGAGCATCTTTTATAAAATATTATATATATGAATTTTCTATATATTTTAATTACACTATGTTATTTCAATCAGTTTGAACCACTGACATGGAAACGACGTCTCGACCGATTGGACAATAGTGTGATTAGCAGTACCTTAAGTATTATTGGATTGACTTCGTACCAGCTGAAACCAGTGAGTTAGATGAAGAAGGGACGAGAGGAGGGTGAGGAACGTCAGGTGAGAAGAGAGGAGTAATGATGGGGGTTGCTTTTGCAGGAAAAGAAATGCCATGCAGCTGCAGGTTTACTTTATTTGACTTGCAGAGCATAAAGCCATCAAGTTTATGTGTGATGCCACATTTGTCAAAAGTATCCAAATTGTTTTACTCTCTCCCTCTCCCTGTCTTTCAATTGAAGCAAAGAATAAACCATGTAATGATTAGGCCGACTTACTTGCTAGTCACCCTCATTATGAATTTTCATGATTTGAGTACCATGTTTCCCCACTTCGTTTTCGCCCTAACCACACCTTTTTCCTTTCGTGTTCCTCCCTCCTCACGGTTTACACTTGAGTAGTGCTTGTTTGTTGCAAATTAAGCCTGTTGGATGCCGCGAGATCTGTCGAACAGCACAACAAGATATTATTCACAGCTACTTTTTATGTCCGCGCACTGATCCCTTATTAGATTAGATCAGGAACAAAGAGGGCAGAGAGGAAAAATTTAAATAAGTTCAGTTTTAGAAAATCAGGACAAATGGGGTTCATAGTTTAGACAAAGCAATTCTTTCTCAGCCAAACTTTCATGATTAGCTCAATATTATCTCAATAACCCGAGTGCCAAGTGTTTGTATCCAAAAAAAAAAAATCATAAATCACGCGTCTTGGACATGACGTTGAACTATGAAGATAGCTAGTTTTTGGAGAGCAGCGAGGAGTAGTTGCGGTTTGTCCCCTTAGAAATTCTTGCCATAACCACACTCCACTCACTTCATCATTACATAGTCTCATTTATTTATTACGTACCGTTGAGCTACTATTTTAAGCCAAACAAAAGAATGTAAAAGAGCATAGGGAGGGCAGTTCCTCATCGCTAGTAAAAGATCGGTGGCGGGGTGTGTCACCGTTATTTCTCCGTTCTGAAGACCAAGTATCTATACATGTTATTAAATTGATGGTGGAAATGAAAAGCGGACGGCAAGGAAATGGGAGAAACCCCTTTCCCACCAATCCCCTGCCACTATATACAAATGATCCGATAAAAACTCTCCCAATTGATTGCAAATAACGATATTTTATAAGGGAAATCAATATACCTTTTTATAAATAACTAAGTTGGTTAATATTCTTAATAAGTCTCATATCTAGAAAGAAGTATTATTTAGTGAGCAGCGTTTAATTGGCAACAAAACCTTGATGGTTGAGAGTGAATGTCAGTATGACTCATGAGAAGGCTGGTGTTCAATGTGGAGTGGAGACCCGCGAGAGAGACACGACATGCGTCTCTTTACCCCTCAGCTTCCAACTTGACTCCAAAAGTTGGTCCGCGCCACATGTTCAAAATATCCATTTCAAGAACTCTCTCCCCCTCCGTCATCACCCAATCAGCTACTAGCCAGTTTAATTTGCAACATCCCTGGGCTCTAACTTCAGACGCCTAATACAAATGCAAACAACCGGATTTGCACCGAAATATGTAAAAAGGGATCCGGTTTCGGTACTGCTTGATTAATTCTCGTTCTGATCCTAGACATAAGACATATTTTATAGTGTAAATTATACTATAAAATGGGTTTTATATTTATAACCGGAAGAGTATCTAATAGTGTCCTTATTATCTGAGTGGATAGGGCTTTCTATTACCAGTGGCACATGCTTGCCGCAGAATATCATGCGAAGCCACTTTGAAATCTGACCCTCCACAATATCAACTGTTGAAGCCATCCGGTAGCTTTCTGTTGCAATCACTCGCTGGATTCCATTTAATTTTGTCTTCTTCCTGACCCCCTTCGCGAATTAGTTCCAAATTTATGAAAAATAAAAATCTACAGTGATACCTCCACACATCAAAGCATATAATAATACAATAAAATAATTCCTAGTTTATGCGCGCGGGGTCCATTCTTGAAGGCATCTCATCATCTCCTCCAAAAATTAATATAAAAGGAGGACGATAGCATCTATAAATATAAAAATCTTCCACTTTTGTCGATCTCACTACTTTCGTGTCGACGAATCATTCGCTTTCATTTTCATTGTTCCTCCCATCCTTAATTTATAACACAAAGTTCTTGTCGATGTCACTCAAAAAGTTGAATCGATTGCAAACCCAGTTGTCATAGCGCGGGCTGCCTTTACTTAACACCCCCCCTCCCCTCCTAACAACGGTTGCAACATAACACAATGGCAAAGCACAAATTATCTAATTACAACAAAACACCAATAATATTTTTCAGCAACTATACGGATAATAAGTTACCTTCCAAGTTACATATTTATCGTATTATACTTTTGTAATCACGAGTATTAAAATTTATGAATAATTTAGTAATAAGCATTTACGCATTTATCTAAAACAATAAAGTACTTTATAAAACCAAAGTCGTTTAAATGGCCAATGGGGATAAGATGTTGTTAAACTAAATAAACGGGGCTAAGACTATGCTGGTAAAGCGTCTCTTCCTTCATTGCCTGACCCCCGGATAAGTTTTGACCTCCATGGCTACACAGCGTAGTTCCTATTTCGGAATGTAAATTATATCGCATTAGAAAGATTCTCTTGCTAAGCAGACCCACCACGATCACCCAATATACGTTCCATTGAAAATTTTCAAGAGAGATGATAATAGGAAAGCTCAAATGACAATTAACAGTTTGCTCAGCTTCTTATTTCTCTCATGGAAGGGGGAGACTCCTCTGTGGTGTTCTTCATCTCTTATTCTTTAGATCGCTCTGTTATTCTGGAGTTCTTGCGTCCACAGAACGCTAGTAAGGTTGTGGGCTCAGAAATACCAAAGCTTTGCACCAGGCCAGAATCTTCTACTCTGAGACCACTTACATCCTGAAATTGGGGCCCCGCTATCTATTGGAACTGGAAATATTTCGGATGCAGACCAAAGATTCTGGTGAGAAGCATCAGCAAGGAAGACCAAAAATTGTGGAGGTAGAGATAGCGGAGATTCATATGTGGACGTCCCGGATTACAAAAGCTGCCACCAACGCTCTCAGAACTACACGCTCTGATTGTGAAGATTTGGCTCCTCTCACTGAATTGAATCTAAATAATTATCATTTTCATTCCATCAAGAAAGAAATCCTCCTTGAGCCAAACGGTACCGGGATAACGATAGATTCAGAGGCGCTGGAGTCAAATGCGACTTTAAGTCCACTGAAGCGATCGTTTGTTTCACTTTGACGGCTGGGATTACAAATTCTGCAAAACGACGCCGCTTAGCAGGCGATATGAGCACCTCACCCCACTTTGTTCTCACATATTCGAATATGCGAAGAGGCAGATAGATATAATAGTCTTTTCAAGAAAACCCAGAGAAGACTACAGGTTTCATCTTTCCTCTGTACGACCTGTGAAGGTAACTGCGTTCTACTGCTGGTGAAAAGCTTAATTCCCCTGCATTCTGAGTATTAGAAATGAATAAAACTATAAACTCCAATGAACAATATTTATAACCATGTCCATCCATACACTGCCTCCAGCAAAGAGCCAAGCCCAATTCTGGGCCACCACATAGATCACTTGCCCTTCTTAGGCTCTTTCATATACTGATCTATCAACGCCTCGACATCTTTCCAGAAGAGGCCCTCCACCAAAACTCCATCCTTGGTGAACCTGCGATCCAAACAGAGTCATACCGATTATTCTCTGATTTAAAAAGGGAATGTGTGCTTCAAAAGCAAATTTTTTTTTGGGGGGGGGGGGTGGTGGAATACCATCGGGCGACACTTTTGGTAAAATTTACTGGTTCATTCGCAGAAATTGATTTTGGATCTGCACTTGCTATGGTAAGTGTGTATGCGTCAGAAAATCTAGGCAGTTTTGAAGAGACTACCAATCCAGTACTGGTGAAGGATGCCTGGACAAAGAATTACAGCTAGAAAAAATCAAATTGCGAGATGATGAAATCACCCAATTATGCAGGCACGTTCTAAAGAAGCAAAGCAACTTGAAACATCTCAAGGCCATACAAATGCACATCCTGCCACGAACAACCCACAAGAAGCATCAGCCTCGCTACTTTCATGAAAAAAATGATGGCCAATGTCTCTGTCAGATACTCAAAAGTATGATTCCCATTCTCTTCTTTCTATAAATTGAAAATAAATTCAAAATCGATGGACCACACACCTAGTTGATAATACAGAATGAAGAGCTATAGAACTTCAAGAAATTTGTTTTTCCGTTTAATTTGTATTACATAAAAGATGAAGAGAAAAGATTCTAACCTTCATTCAATGAAGAATTAAAAAAAAAAAATACCACATATTCTAACAGTGCCATGTGAACCTTACGCAGAAGAGCGAGCACAGGTGTTTAAGTTCTAACACTACTAGATATTATACGTACATGGCTGAAGGGAGGCAAAAGAAGTTTCAAGTTGAACCATTTAATGGAAAATAATACATCGGAATCATGCAAGACGAAAAAAAAAGCAGCTACTCCTCATGCATAAATGGGACTATGGGATTCTAGAGTACACGGGATTTTCAAGTTAAAAGAAACTCACAACAGGAGGATATGTAAACAGAACAGCATTCCTCTCCTTTGTGTATGTAACCAACTGCAACAACCCGTTGAAGGCTATATACTTGCCAGAGTTAAGGATGAAAACCCAATTGAAGCAATGTCAGTAAAACATAAAAATCAGATGATTGAGAGTAATTTACGGAATTAAAAAAGATGAGAAAGAACAAAAATTATGAGCAGGAACTCATGCATAAGGTTGTCTAGCCATGAGATGATGCCACGTTAACATATGCATAATGGCGTATTTCGAGGCCTCAAAATTCTAAGATTACATACCTTCGACCTCATCGTTGGGTTTAACCAGAAATGAGAAAACGAAAAGCTAAGATCTCATTTTAATTTTTTATCACGCTGCATAACCAATAGCCAACATGACAGAGTCTCGGTAACTTTAAATTTGCTTAGCTCTAGTGTTAATTTCAGATTGTTTAAATGCTATTGCCCAAAGTGTTCCCCTTTTCAAATGTCATTTCTTAGACATGAATAAACCAAAGGGCGCATTTTCAGTTTACTACAGCTTCTTCAATCACGTCAGAGAGAGAGAGAGAGAGAGAGAGAGAGTAAAACGAAGCCTGGAAAAGGATATAACACAATGCAGGCGATGAGGAGATCCCGGTTCTCAGGAAACTTCTTCTTGTAAAACTGGGCAAACAGAGCAATGACAATAATGATCGTCCCAATAAACAGCCTAACGTTGCTCAATCTCACATCTTCCACAAATCCGCGACTAGTCACTACCTATACAAGAAAAAAAAAACACATAAAGGTCAATTAATCCACTAACCATACAATTAAATTAAACATTAAAAAAAACGACTTTTCAGAACGATAAGATCTGGTACGGAAAAGATGGGTAACGAGGCAGGGTTAGGGTTGAACGGACCTCTCAGACAGATTCGTCGAGGATGTGTTTGATGGAGTGATGATCCAAGAGATTAGCTTTCTTCGGAGCTTTGGACGCCATTTTCGGAAAGCTGGTCTGAACGAAGAGGCTCAGCGAACTTGGGTTAGCTTGGGATCGCAGGCTCGGAGTCGGGCCTGATGCCCTGCTACTGAAGACGGCCTCAATCTGTGCTTGGTGTGTAACGCGCAAACGCCAGTTCTCCCGGGGGGAGTCTAGCAGTACAAATTGGTTTTGAGCTTTTTAGCTTTTGAGCTTTCGACAAAATTTCTCACCACTTATCTCGTAATTATTTTTCAAAAACTAAACCAACCACCTCCTCATCATACATATAGTAACTAATGTAATTTATTTTTCAGACTTATATGCAATATACAATATTTATTTGAAGACCATCAATCATTACAATATGAGAATAATTTTGACTCAAGTTACAAAAGCACGTTCTCAAAACACAAACTCAAATATAATAAATTTATTCTTGCAAACTACGAGTGGCAAGAGTGAGGTTTTTCTCCTCTCAATGGGAGTGTTCACGGGACGGGACATCCTGTCCTGGTTTTTTCTCGTGTCCAGTCTCCATTTTATATTAAAAAAATATTATAATTTTTTATATGAACTTTTTATGTTATAATAGTCATTTTTTATTGGGCTTTTAAAGATAAAAATATTATTAAAAAAATATTATGTAAAAAACTCAATTATATAGTATAAAAAAGGTGTAAAAACGATACTATAAAAAAAATACCATAAAAGAAACACTATATAATAACTTTATGAATTATTTTATTGAGGAAAGAGATTTTATTGAGATAATACTACAATTTAAAAGCTAAAAATCACTATAAAAAAAGAATTATTATTAATAAGTAAATTAAATAATATAATAATAATTATTAACAAATAATTTTTAAAAGAAAAAAAAACCAGGACGGGACGACCTCGTCCCGCGTCTCGTCTCGTCTCGTCTCGGTTAGTATCCTGTCCCAAAATTTTTTTTGTCCTGTCCCGTGCCGTCCTGAACTTACAAGGACCACGACTAACGACCGGAACGAGACAAATTGAACACTCCTACCTCTTAGCTTTCATCTTCATACACACAAAATAAATGAATATAGAGAGTAAAGACGATAAAACCACAAAAATGTAGAGATTGCCCGAAAAGCCAAAAGATCAAGCCATCAACGTACAACTTAAACCCGGATAATGAATGGATTTTTCCTAGCTTTTCAAAGTTTTGACCGAGACTTGGGGAAAAAAAATATTATGGAGATCGGCTGCTTGTTATATGAAATCCTAGGTTCAGATCAAGAACATCATATACTTACACCCCGTCGTTCAAAAATAACAACATAAAAAATAGGTGAAATTTTGATGAACATTTCGAAAGAACTTGAATGATAATATGCCTTGAAGAAATATTATCACGGGGGAACAGGGAGAGAATATTTTCTACATTTTCAATAACACTCTTTTTTCCTCTCCAAATAATCCAAACTCATTGTTATGAACCACACAGCGAACATGTTTGCTTTACCATGAGAAATAACTAAAACCATGATTTTGATGAAAACAAAATTCTCATACTTTAGTTTAAACTACATGTTCATTTTATGCGATAGCTATGTTTGAGTCGAATATGCAAGCAATGGGAGACATTTTGCCCCTGCAGGACTCCATTTATCGAGTTGGCATTCTAGCACTGCATGTCTCCGATTTCCTCATTTGCAGTGGCTTGTTAATGGATGAGTTCAGTTTATAGATACTATGTCCGGCATGAGTTCAATTTGTAGGTTTTCTGTCCGGCATATCAAATGGACTGAGAATCAGATCTACATAGCAGGTGGCCATACAGTGTTTCCAGGGGTAGAGTCTGAACTCAGAAATCTGCAGAAGGACTCAACAGCTCAATGATTCCAGCAACTCAAAATATGAATCTGACGAAAATAGCAAGGAATATGGATCCGTGGCGATATTCTTTCTAAAATATCGTTTTTTTGAAGGTACAAATTTTCTATGGCCATATGATCTATTTCCTACTATGCGAATGAATCTTCCAGTTGAAGATGGTTCGTGGAATCTCAATCTGGAAAAAGAATCATTTGTTAGTAATCTCCTTTCATAGAGCTTTGCCTTCGCAGTGTTAACAGCATCCTTAGCAAGCAAGAAACGAGCCCCCCTCACAAGCTCTTCCTTCACCATGAACAAAACAGCGGCAGCCAGCACACTCTGTACAATTTTAGTACTCATACCGTTGTAAAATCCATAAAACCCTTCATAGCGGATCATCTTTATAATGGCATCCCATGTTCCTGGATTTCAAGAATGCAACTTCAGAAAGGAATTCAACCAAAGAGTAAATGCAAACAAAACATTAGGATTTGAGGCTAAATTTTCATGAAATAGTTTTTAAGTGGTTGTGTGTGCGCGCACGTGAGTTGGGGAGATTGCATTAATCATCAAATTGAACAAAACCAACGTGCCACATGTTCGCTTCAGCAAAGCAAACTCAATAACCCCTTTGATGATTAAGGCGGAGGGGTAGACTGAGCCTACAGCAATTGTATTATGACCATCATTCACAGGTAAGATATGATTATCACTGTAACTTAAACCTTTATAATGGTGCCTCTTGTCATCAGTCTTGACCTGCCTTGCTTGAAGCCTAGCCTACAATAGCAAACATAACAAGTAAGAAGACCAGAACAGCATTTGGAGCACAAATCATTTTCCCATTTTCCCATTTTCCCATTTTCCCATTCCATTCTTCTTGCAAAGAATTGACATGAAGATGATACATAAGAATATGACAGTAGAATTTTTTCAGACGGGACATATTTGATAAATGATAGTGCAACATCAACCGCAGTAACATTGTGTAAAAGATAAGAAGTGAGTTATGAACTGTGTAAAATGACACGTATGTCCAAGAAATTACTGAAAGCCAACAATATGGCATTTGCTAGCATTTTGTGGTCCATATGTTTTGCAGATAGAGTACGGGTCATTTGAATTTACAAATTGATCAATGCTCCTTAACATATAATAATGAACATTGGACATTAAGGGGGCAAGAAAACCAAAAAAATTAGGGCAGCAAAAATGAGAATGTTGAGATAGAAGTGTAGTAATACAAAAAGAAGATAAGATCTGTAATAACTACATACGAGGAAAAGTTGGCATGACTCCCAACAAAAGGAAAATGATATAAAATAAAATCAGTTTATATGGTTCAAAAATGCGCAAAGAACCCTGACAAAGGCACCAGGAAGAGAGTTGCGCAGATGGTCTTTAGCCTTAGGATCAAAGATGAAGGAAGGTGAAGAAGGACATTCAAGGAAGTCATCTAAAAAATGGGAAATTGTTGGAGCACAATGGCATAAGAAAAGGTTTCTGTTGTTTAATTTACATGAGATGTCACTGTTTGACAAGAATCACCTGCCATGGAAAATTTACATGGTTTGTGGTGATTTATATTCTATAATACCATAATCCTCCATATCTGAAATTTAACAAATACAATTTCAAGTTGCTCATTCTTTTTTATCCTGCTAAACAGAAGATTCTCACTTGGCCAACTGAAAACATCTTGAATAAGTTAGTATGATATACCTTCACAACTAGAAGAGGATAGGTTACAACAGTAGCTCCAAGCTTAGCCAAAGCCCCAAGAAGGAATATCTAGTGAGAATTTAGTTCATCCGCAGTAACAATTAAATCAACAATTCAACATGTTGAAGAATATAAGTGTGAATAATAAACCAGAAAAAAAGGTGTAGCTACGCAGGGAAGTGATATAAGACTATACCTCTAAAGCAGTAACCCCATCACTACTCTTCTTACTCAAAGCACGTCTTCTTTTTAACCGTGACAACATGGCTTCATACAGCATGAACTGTATAGAAGGATTGCTAACCTGAGATCAGTGACATCCAATCAGTATTACTCCATTAGCACGAGAAGGATTCACTTGAAACGTACCATGATCAATGTTGGTAATACACCTTTCCAGAAACCCCAGACTCCAGCTTCACCATACACTTCTTGAATCTGTAATTATATATTTTTATTTGTATTACTTAACAAGTAAAAATATCTGTTCAGGTTTTAAGCTCGCAATGTTAATCAGTGATCAGTCCCAAATGCATGAAGTAAGAGTCACTCAGGAACAAGGAGAGCGGACCTAATAAAATTCCGTATAATTGACAAAAAAAGGAACATGACTCATCAAAATTACCAGTAATTTATTGGAGTATTTACATATTATCTCTTCCAAATAGGATGGACCAGATGGTCAAGATGCTCAGCATATTAATCGAAACACTATACTTAGTTTACAAAACATTTTCTCACAGGTGAATGATAGCCTAAGAAGCATAATTACCATGTGCCGTCTAAATTGCAAGAAGGGCGACCAAGCAAGCACAGATTTAGAAGTCCAAAACCGTAGGGAGCTACTGTTAAAAATAGATTTTACCTACCACATGACTAGTTCCATAAGGAGGAGGTTCAGCTGCAGAAATAATTGCTTGTTCTGTGGCTACAGACGAGTCATGACCAGGCATGGTTCTCTCCAACTCTTTTCTATGAGTCTGCACAGTGAAAACAATTTTGAACATTAGAAATAGTAGAGAACAGACTATAAGACATGCCTGGTAAACCAGGCCAGCGAAAAGCAGAGAGAAATTATGTTTATATTCCACAGCTTTTCTCAAATTCCTTGGAAAACTGAAACAGTAGATTATAACTGTGAAAAAATATTCTCCAAAAGGAAGCCCCAAACTAGCTGCCAAATCCATAAACCTCTCCCTTCGAACTTTATATTTGTTATTTAAGAGATCATTTAGCAGATGATTCACGAAATTCTTTGAAAAAACAGTATTTGTGAAAGAAGGTTTTAAACTTTGTAATATTTTTTAAATAGATAAAATCTGAAACCAAATGAGAAGAAGCATAGTCTTTCCCACAAATTGAATCGATATCAGCTTGTCTAAATCACAGAATTAGTCAGAAACATGATAAAGGGGCGTGGGTGACTTTTTGGAGCGGGTAAGAAACATAAACAAGCCATTTACCTGCATCCGTGTAACAACCACCCATATGGGATTTGTCAACAGCACATTAACACACCTGCAAACAGGGTTTATCAAGCAGATTGAGTCACGCCACACTTGCATAATCAACAGTTTTAACAACTTCATTTGTAGCCAATTATTATAGGAAGACCAGTCGCATATTTACAAGGCCAAATGTGAGAGGACTTGAAACTCTACAGCTATAAACAACAAAATTGTTGTAACCAGTGAAGGCCACTACTTTAATCAAGCTTTAAAATTTGCAGCACAAGAAACTGCCGCAACCATAGGCTCTGTACAGACAGGGTATATTACCCTGATAAAGCAGCGACAAGTAGTGAGGGTAACATCCCAACTGATCCATCACCAATGCCAATCTTTTTCTGTTCTAGAGCAGCTGCTTCAGCCTTGCTCCTGAATACTTGATAGAAGTAGTAGTAAACACCCTGTACTATAAACATTGTTAGTAAATTTGGAATTGAAAGCAAATGAAAAGGTTAAACAGCTTGCTATAAAATACGTTGCTCAGGATTTGGCTGATAAGAACTCTTGTTCATTTAAAAAGAAAAGACTACCATTACAGATCATGCAACATTAAACAAAGAATCCTATCATTAGGTTAAGATTTACTTCTGATAATACATCACATAACAAGTTTATTGTTTTTTTTTCTCTCGAATGTCTTCAGTACCAAACCAAGTCAGAAGCAAACATTATTTATAGCATGAATAGATTTGAGCTAATTAGACATCCATAAATTGTCCAAACTCCAAGGTCTGAAGGCTGGAAAGGTTCTTGCTTTTTGTCCTTATTTTCGTTGCACCCCACAACCCCCTTTTTTTCTTGGGCACTAGCCACTTGTAAAGAACAACCCCTTTAAAAGAGCATCAAGTTGCACAGACCTGAGACGCAGCTGTGCCCACAAGCGACGGCATCAATCCTCCGTACAACCGCTCCCACCCCTCGCGCTTTACCACCTACATTTCCCCCAAGAAACACGATTACTTGACCACGAATTATGAAAGCACTTTGACTACAATTATTTTGAACACGGTTTAGCTACAATACAAGACACAGAATCACTGGGATCGTATCTTTTTTCCCCGTTTAATCAGAGACTTGACGGTGAGATTAGTTTTTTTTTTTTTTTTTTGCCCTTTGCTTCAATATAGGAAAGCAGACTATCAATACGGCTAAACAATTGTAAAGGCAGAGACCTGGCACATTTCCTCAAGAGTTCCAAGATTCCTCTGATCTTTCTTCGGGTCACGCTCGGTTTGTTGACGAGTGTTTACCTGTAGATCAGCTCAGGAAAATCAGAATAAATTGTTAACATAAAAAAAAGTGAAAGGAAAATATTGAAGCCATACAGTTTGGAGAGGATATGTGATGAGCTGGGCAATGATCCCTCCTCCAGCTCCGGCGAGCCCATTGATCAAAGCGTCCGACATAATTATTTTGCAGGGAAAAATGGAAAATCTTGATTTATCAGGGAAGCAATGCAGAGTAAGGCCTTGAGGATATGATAGAGAGGGAAGAGAAGATCTAGTACTAGCTCCGGTGAGATGGGAGGAAATGAGACGTTCCTGACGGAGCACTTGTCCGGAGCAATCTAGTACTAGCTCCGGTGTTGATTTAGTGTTGGCTTTCACTTGAAAAGTCCACGACCTTAGTGCGGGTGGCAGCCTGGGGGAAGTAGTTGCGTTGGGGAGAAGGAAATGACGTTAATGCTGTTAAGGCTGCATCCGTATGGACCATTTTACCCTTTACGGGCGCGAATATGCTACTGCTATCCTCCCGTCACTGGCGGACCTACCTTGATATGTTGGCGGCCATTTGGAAGCGGCATTCAAATTATGGCCAATGTCATGTCCTCATGTTCCTCCCGCTAACGCAGGAGGCTGGAAGTGGAAGAGGAGAGGAGGGGCGAGTTGCGACAACGGGAGAAGACACGTGGGTGAATGTGTTCAATTTTCTTCTGTAAACTTATTATGGTTTTTTTTTTCCTGTGCCGATTATTTGCGCGTGTTTGCATAGAATAATTTAAAATTTATTACAGGGCTGTTTATGGGGGAAAAAACCGACACATTAACACGTCATAAAATTCTAAATTACATACTTTCTTTTTTTAGCACAAATAATCTTATAATTAAAATTAGAGTTAATAATACAGAAGGAACAAATGAGAAAAAATTATGCATTATGTTTATAATTAATAAGATTGACTCTTTTATTAGGATACAATTTATATTTTAAGGAGTGTTTGGGCACTTCTTCAATTGGAGAAAAATCATTCAAACACCTTTTTTATTTTTTACAATATCACTTTTAAATTGAAAACCACGGTCTCCACATGAAACCATAGTTTTCCAAAAATGAAATATTTTTGCATTTGGCGATATAAAATCATAGTTTGAAATATAAAAAAATATTTAATATTATATTTCAGAGCGAGAGATTGCAAAGTTCTTTAAAGAATTTGAACTGAAATAAAAACAACTTACTAAAATAATTATTTTGCCAGTTTAAAAGAAAATTGTTGAACAAAAACAATATAGATAAATTTGGGAGATTTGGAAGTAAACTCAAAAAAAATTATCAAATATTTTTTTTGATAATTACTCCCTTCGGTCCTATTTATAAACTTTAACCTTAAGAAGGGGTATATTCCATTTTATGAACTATAATTTAAATTTGTCTTAACATTTAATGTATTTTTTAATGTTGTCCTTAATTATTTCCATCTTATCATGTTTTTCTACAATTATTTCATCTTTTTTTCTTAATTATTATATAGACATATTTAAAAACAAAACTCTATTTTCAGCGTATTTATTGTTTTTAACTTATTATTTATTATTCATCAATTAGTTTATAATAAATTTAAAAGGAAGTATAATCATTCGCCTGCGGGGCTGTCCCGTGATTCTATTTTTCTTGTGGCGCGTGTTCTTCTTTATTTTTGTTGTTTAATAATACTGATGTTTGGATCAGCCGAGTTCGTGTCTTCGCTATCCCTTATATGCAATCCATTCCCCGGGTCCCCGAGGCAGCCTCGTTGCATTGAATATTGATACGCAGATTTTGCGGACCTTTATCGGGTTCTAATAATCAAGCCACCAGATTTTTTTTTTTTTTGACCAGACAAGCCACCAGATTAAAGGGTTTCGAATGCGATTAGAGTATTTTGATAGAAGTTTTATCCCAATTAAGGTGGGTGAAAGTCTTAGCGAAACCTTTGCGATTGCTTAACAAAATGCTTTTTATTTAATTTGAGATGAAATTGATTGCATACAAAATTTTAGAATATAATTCAACATCACTTGAAATAAATTAATCTAAACAGTAAAATTTGAGGAATTTAACGTGAAGGTGCTTTGAGCTTGGAAGATGCTCGTCTTCTAAACATGGCTCGCTCTCTGCTGATAAAACATGTGGATGGATCATCATTATCTCCCCCTAAAATATGAGCAACGTACCACCAAAACAAAACGACGTGGCCAATGTTTATGTTCTGACGCTGTTTTTATAAAACGCGCAGAGTGATGCTTCACTCGGAAGCGCCACTTCTTTCCTTGTTCCTCATTCTTATACGGGTAAGTTTCCCTTAGCAGTTACCCGCTTTCTCAGAAACAGAGTATAACTCCCCAGCCCTCGGCCAACAGGCAGAAAAGGATTGGAGTCTGCCCCCTTAGACTTTCAAAACAAACAAAAGCATGAAAGCTCTCAGGTTTAATTTCCTACAAATTCTTGAACGGCATATGAGATGTTTATTGGCATGTCTTTGCTTTGGCTTTCATGCCAAATCTTTGCTCTCCAGTGCATCCTGCTAGGGACTTTTTTAATGCCCTACGAGGTATCTGCGTTCGAGCTTCAGCTCTTGATTCCGCATAGTAATTAGTATAAAAGATGTTTATGGTTATTGGGATTTTAAAGTATCATGGATAGTAGTATCTTAGCCAGTATGAGTCGCGGCTCGTACTCGAACTAGAATCTTTCTTATTGACTTTGATTATGAGGTCCCAGTGATAGAAAGTGTTACTTCAATGTTTTTTATGTTTTTATACTTGTAGTTTTTTGTTTTGTTAGTTATTACTTCGTCTGTTATTTTCACGTTGCAAATGTTTTGGGTGGGTTTTCTATTTTATTGGTTTATTTACGCTTTACTTAAATTGACTTAATATGACTGACCAACCTCTTTATATACTCATTTCATTATGTTATGTAAATTTGTCTTCTATCCAAAAAAAATTGTCGAGTCTGGGGCCACTAAATATGGGCCCAAGATAAAATTCTAATGGAATTTTTTGGGCCTGAAAATTCTAATTCGTGGATTCAAGAGTGCCAAAAACCATCGAGCTGACCAGCTGATGACGAGAAGGGAGTAAATAAAAAGCACTCGGCTTTTTGTAGGCGGCTTCACAAAGCAGAAACGAAACGAAACCGCGTAGGGAGAACCAAATTCCAGTTTCCTCCTCCTCCGTATCGTGGACGTTCACCATCCTCTGCTTCCGCACGTCGGCGCAAAAGATAGAGCCCATGGCGTCTCCTCGCCCCCCGCCATCGAAGCCCTTGGATCTCGACCTCACCATCGTCTCAGCCAAGCATCTCAAGAACGTCAACTGGAAAAACGGGGATCTCAAGCCCTATGTTGTCTTCTGGGTCGACCCGGACCGTCGTCTCGCCACCAAATCCGATGACTCGGGTTCTACCTGCCCTGTCTGGAACGAACGCTTCACTCTCCCTCTCGCCCACTCTCTCCAAGATTCCTTCCTCACCCTTGAGATTTCCATTCTAAACCCTCAGAAACGCCCAAGCCCTTAGTCGGCACACTCCGTCTCTCACTCAAGGACGTCGACGACCTGGAAGATTCAACCCGGCTCCGGAAGTTCACTCTCACGCGCCCCTCCGGTCGCCCTCAGGGTAAGATCCATCTGAAGCTCGGTCTTCTTGGACGTCCTCTGCCCCCAGCCGTAGACTACGCAAACCCTAGCCCTCCATTGGTATGCTATATACCGACAAATCCGATTCCTCCGCCTTCTGCTCGCGATTTCAGGGGATACTCACCTTCACCGTCTCCTCCACCGTACTCTTCTTACAGCTCGTACCCGGATGCGTACTCTGGGTACTATCCTGGATATTACTCCAGCGCTCCTCCTCCGCCGCCTCCGCCAAGGCCTTTCTTTGATCGTCCGGTGAATTATGGTGGGCCTAGCGGGCCGTCAGCTCCGCTTGATTATTCGTCGTATGATCACAAGCCAAAGAGTGGGAAAATGGGTATGGGTGCGGGGCTTGCAGTGGGCGCTGTTGCTGGTTCTTTGGGTGGGCTTGCTCTTGGGGAGGGTCTGAAATATGAAGAGGAAAAGGTTGCCGAAAAGGTTGAAAATGACATGGCTACCCGGGATGATTATAGCGATTATCGTTATCGAGACTTCTGATTTTTTAGTGGCTATTTTGCCAAGGTTTGAACTTTGAAGGTCAATTCTCTATTATTCCAGTATGCATGTATATATTTCGTCTCCGAGTAGTATTTACGCATCCGTGGTGCGCTGTTTGCGGCCCAGTGAAGTAATTAACAGTTTATCCTATGATAATCTCCCTAAGTTTATGCAGTTCTCTATAAAGAAATAAAGCTGGTTTGCTTATTAGTCTTTGGCTGTTGAGATTGCTTATCAGTTTATGTTGTTAGGATGGAAGAGGATTGATTGATGCATGGGTTGATAGTTCCAAATTCCGAGTCTTTGTTCCTAAGAATTTCTAGTTGCAATAATTATTTGAGCCTACTGTTCAAGTATTTGTCTGCCTGATAAGATCTTCAGCTGCTTAACAGAAACCAGTATAGATCAATAGCTGCAAAACACACTTTATTGGAAGCAATGAAAGCTCCTATGATGCATTATGTTAAGACCTGATTTCTTTTGACTAATTATAGACCGTTCGGGTTGGGCAACACTCACTCTTATGTTGTAGATAGGCCGCTGAAAGTTGCAATTAAGGCCACAATTTGCAATTTATGATGAAATCCTGTGATGACTTGTGCTGTGACTTGCTATCTTTTGACTAATTACTGCCAAAAGTTGCATATATAAATGATAGAAATGTGTAATATGGAATTCTTTTGGTAAGTTCCATGATATTGTTGCCAATGAACACAGCAAAAGAACCTGCTATTTAGTGTTGGCGCCCTCCTTTGAATTTAATGATGTATTGCAGGATTCAAAATTTCTTTGTTTGACATGCATTTGCCCTTGTCGAGGATATCCATAAACTTGGCACAACAACTTTCTCTATGCGATGTTTAATATATGCGCGGCCAGATCGTCATAAAATTGGTTTTTTTGAATCAGAATTTAGTAGCATGTGATTAATAATTTCATTAGGACGCATATTAAGGCGGTGTTTGAAAATATGGAGGAGAACTTTGGAAGAATACCAATTATGAATAGTGCCTGCAGAATGACTTGTATGCCTTAGTTTACATATGTGATATATGTCACTTGTAATATTGAAAAAGAGGATTTATTTATCCTTCATATCTGTTGCTGTTGG